CTTTTGCTGGTCTCGAAGTCTTGACCTTGAGCGATCCACCCGCCTCGGCCTCCCAGAGTGCTAGGATTACAGGCGTGAGCCACCGCGCCCGGCCTAATACCTTATTGTTTATAGCTGTTGTAATGAATAAATAGTTAATTAGCCTTAGGAAAATAAAAAATATATGCCTAGAACGGCTTTTGAGTCAATAAAAAAATACTAACCTCGTTTAAAGTGATTGAAGTGAGAACTGTTGTGTGTGTCTGGGGTGGGATTCCCGGACAAATTATGTTTGGTTTGGCAGTCCTAAGGGAAGCCGAGAAGGACCCATTTCAAGTCTCTGCAAAGGGCTAGCACGGATAATGTATTTAACAGGGCGGGCGGAGCGAAGAGGGGGATCCGAGAAAAAAAGTTTCACCTGCGAACGTGACTGGTCTCAGCGACCTTGTACCAGAACATAAACATTAAACACGCGCACATGAAACCATTATCTTTAGTTAACTGTGAGTGCCAAGTAGAAAGCTTATATCGGATTTATTATCAAGACATATTTGTACTATTTTACCATCCATTCCAGGAAAAAAATGGGAATATACTTAATTTGTAATGAAGTGCTATCTCCCCAAATTAAAGGAACAGGTAATGAAATTTTAAAAATCGGCGAAATATTAACTGTTTTACTCAAGAACACCTGAAAACTATTTGAGTTCGTGGGTGGGAATCCGGGAGGGGAGGCGCACTAAGCTAATTACCCCGGCAAACGTTTCTTAAAGAATTACCTACAAATAACACCGTCTTCTTTTTGGACGTGCCTTAAGATTACAGGTGACCGCAATGCCCCCAGGCGCTGGGGAGAAACTTTCACTGGGCGAAGGCACCAGGGTGCAAAGCGGCCAGTCAGGGATCCCGGCCCACTCCGGAGCCGCCCCGCGTCGGTGACCGACACCGCCCCACATCCCTTTCCCTAAGGCGACTCGGCTTAAGGGCCTGAGGGCAAATCGGCCTCCGGGTCCTTCCACGTGCTTGGCTCGCCCGGGCCCTCTGCCGCCGTCGCCGCGGGAGCCGGGCGCGAGCCCGCAGCGAGTCACAGAGGCCCCGTGCGCGCCCCGCCCCTGAGCCCGCAGCCTGGGCGGCCTTAGCCCGCGAGCCGGGGAATAGCCCTGTTCGTCCTCCCTCCCCCTCGGCTGGCCGCTGGGGCGGGGCCAGCCCTGAGGCCCGGCGGCACCCTAGCCGGCTCTTTAGTCAGCTACCGCTGAAGGCCTGGCTAGGGCGGGAGCCGGTGAGTAGCCACGTCACGCTCCTCAGGGAGGCCCCGCCCCCGCCCCGTCCTCTAGGACCGCCCCCTCCACGCCCCCATGAGCAGTTAACCGGTCGCGCGGCGCGCGCCTCCCTTACTCCGGTAGAGGTCCTCCAGCTTGGTTCCCTGAGCCTCCGCGGCTGCCCGCCCCAGGTGAGGGCTCGCGGCTCCCTGCTGCGGCGTCCGGCGCGTGTTGGCCGACTCGGGGCGTGCGCTGCCAAGGAGGACCGGGCCGGCAGGCGGTTAGCGTCCCGTTCGTCGCGGGGAGGGGCGGCACGTCGGGCGCTGCACAGCCTCGGCGGGCGGCTGTGGCGGCGACGGCGGCCGGGCTCTCGGGTTCTCTGCCACAGGCCGAAGCCAGTAGGTGCCCCGGCGGAGAGACGGGCAGCCGGGCTCCCTGGCCCCAGGGCCCCCCCGGCTGGGGCGGCTGGGGCAAGGGGACGATGTCTGCTCGTGCCCCGGTGCCCGCCGCTCACTCTCGGGAGGATCCGCCCACGGTGACTGCTGAGAGGGAGTCGCTGTCGGGCGCGGCTAGCCGGCAGGCCGAGCAGACGCCCGTGCCCGAACGAGAGGGCAAGGAGGCGGCGAGGGAAGAGAGGGCCGCGGCCGCCACCAGGGCTGGGGCGTGGGGAGAGCCATCGCCGGCGCTGGTGCTGGGACACAGCGTGCCCCAGGCGGCTGTGCCCGTGAGGCCCCTGGCACTGCACCTGGCTCACAAGGCGCGTGGGCCTGGGGGCCCCTTCGGCGGGGAGCCGCCGCCGCCGCCGCGGGATCTGCCAGCCGAGGACGCCCGGGAGGAGGAGGTTGCGGCTGCTCCTGAGGAAAAGCGGCAGCCACTGCCGCCTAAGGAAAATCCCTGGACCAAAAAACCTCCCCAGCACCTGTCCCCCGCCGGGACGGGCCTGCCGCCGCCTCTGCTGGAAACCCTGGAGGCAGGTCTGTGGCTCCTCTGAGGTGGGCACAGGGAGGGGCGGGCAGGGGCGACTCGCAGCACTTGCCGGCGCGTGGCGGCGGTAGCGGGCGCGGGGCTGGAGGAAGGGCAGGCCTCCTTTCCCTGTCAGTCGAAGATATTTCGTTCCAAGGTGTCATTCACTCTGCCTATTTACATAAATGGGCATCTGGGAAGGGAGCGGCAGGAAGAGGTGGGACCTCAGGTTCTCCTTGACTGATGGGGGCACGGAGGGGGTAACTTGGCAGAGCAGCCCCGCTGGCGCGGTGGCGCTTGTGTTTTGCCCCCACGTGGGAAAGTGGCTGACTTTAGATAGATACGGAAGTGCATCGTATGGGAAGGTTTTTGTGGACTTTAAAAAAAAAAAAAAAGGGTTGAAGCAAGACAGCAAGGGGATTTATTTGCAAGTGGAAGCGCGATTGTAATCTTTTATTGTAGAAGTGATAAGCTGAAAATCCCAAGGTTTTCAAAACACTGCTTAAGTAGTCATATTAAAAATGAGACCCAAAATGTAGTTGCCATTGAAGTGCTTTGAGTTATGATTGTGGTGGAAAATAATTGACATAGGACAGTTGACAAGAGACAGTAGATTGCACTTTAAGTAAATGGTAGTCTTCTGACATTCAGTTAGCTCTCCTTCCCTTTAGGAACATTAGATTATGCCACTGCATTTGAATGCTGACCCATGCAGTATGGCCCTTGGTGCTTTATTTTGGTTGTAGCAATTGCAAGTCTTTTTTTTTTTTTTTTAAGTTGAAATGCTACAAAGACAAAAAGCAGTGTCTTCTACTTTTGCTTTCTAAATTAAGTTGTAAATTAGTTGAACTTTTTATATGGAAATTACAGCTGTTTACTTGGTAAGTCTTCATTGTTTCTTAAATTAAAGGTTAACAGTGAAGTAGGAAAAATTTGAGCATGTTTACAGGGTTGTGAGGATCAAATGCAATAAAGCATGTGGTATAAATGTAAGGTGATTGTTACAGACGCATGTTAACATTTCTTCTGAGGAACTCTTCCAATAGAGGGAGATAAGTGTTGACTTAATTGATCCTTTAGCTTTTGCACAGAAATACTCTTCATTAATTCTTGGTAAATTTTGACACTTAGAGAAAAAACTTAAAAATTTACTCTAGATTTAATATTGACACAATTCCGTCCTAGCTGGAAGATCTGTTTATTCCTGTTACTGGCTAAAGAGAACACCCTAAGTAAAGTCTCCAATTTAGCAAAGAAAGCCCTAGTGAATCATCTTATTGGCTGTCTCACCTCCCTACTTCTAGACATAGACACAATTATACATTATATTCAGTGAACTACAAAAAACCGAACTCTTTGTTGATTGTAAAATCAATATTGGAAGTTTTAAAACTTTAAAGCTGGGCACTGTGGGCACACCTGTAGTCCCAGCTACTCAGGAGGCTGAGGCAGGAGGATCAAGCCTGTAGAACAGGACCCTAGCATCTGTAAATAGCCACTGCACTCCAGCCTGGGCAACATAGCAAGACCTGGTCTCTAAAAAGAAAAAATTAAAAGTTTCAGAATGAGACTTGGGAATTTTAATTGCAAATGACTCGTAAAAAATATTTAACAGTTTGACCTACTCGTGCCTTCATTCTTCAGTCTTCACTGGAGATTAACAATAAAGTGATGCTAAATGTATGGTGTGGTTCATGGGAATTTCAGTTTTGCTAATATCTCTGTGTAGGCACCTTTTTCTGTCTTTGGAATCTAGTCTGTGCCCTCAGGAATACCATTCTTAACACCTGGAGTGGTATAGTAACCATAGTCTCTTCCCAGCATGGACTTTGTGTTGTTTTCCCACAACTTGTAGTTGAATAACTTAGGTAACTGAGATAAGAAATTGTGATGTAAAAATGCAGTTTTGAGAGCTTGAGTTGTAGTGAGGGTATTGTTACTAACTAGCTAGTTGACTTTGGCAAGATTTGGCCCTGCAAATGAATGAAGTGGATGGACTCATCTTTTATAGTTCTTAATACCAGAATGCCATCTACAATCTGGGTGCCTTGGCTTCCTATTAAGCAAATGTGCAACTTCAAGAATAATGAAATAGGACCAGAAGTTGTTCAGGGTTCACAGCGGGTGCCTCTAAATTAGTACAGTTATCTATTAGTAGGGTGCCTGTATAATTTATTCTACAAAACAGGACACTTTTCAGAGAGAGATTATTTGTGCTGAAATAACAGCCTTAAACCAAGTATATCCTGGTCAAACTTGGTTTAATGTCACTCTTTTAAGGAGGTAGAAGATTTTCATCCACAAATTGTGCCAGAAAGTTTATTACTGGAGTTGGAAACATAGGAAATGGGAATATTTCGGGATAGGAATCATGAATTTTCTCTACATTAGAACCTGAAGATTTAAATGAGGCAGATTCTTGATGTCTTAGCCCTGTGAGACACTTTGTTTCACTTTTAGGATGGTTCTGATTGTGAATTGCTGTTTCTAGAAATTCAGATAAGACACTCTTTTCAGCCAAAGCCACCGCCCACCCAAGAGGCCTAGTGTCGTTGCTGTCTTGAATTCAATCATGAGACTGGGAAGAACTTGCCTTGGTCTGTATCCTTCTAACCTTGTGTTTGTTTTATTTATTTTGGAGACTCTTTATTAAAATCACAATATGGGACTTATTAATTGCTTACCTGTAGCTATGGTTGCCTTTTTCATATTAAAAAAACTTTCAACCAGGACTTCAGGGCTTTGGTGAGTGAGCTATGATCATGCCATTGTGCTGCAGCCTGAGTGACAGAGAGCAAGATCCTGTTTCTTAAAAAAAAAAAAAAAAAATCCTTGTATTTTTATTTCACAAAACATGATGTATTAAAGTATTGTCATTTTTTCCATCGTTTTCATCCTTACTCTTTTCTGACCCTATGTTGCTCTTCAT